TGGCGTTGTTTCTACATCTTCTAATCTGTTCCACTGGTCCTCAGGTCTGTTTCTTTGCCAGTACCATGCTGTTTTTATCACAGTAGCTTTGTAATTTAAATTAGGCTTTTAATGGTATTAATCCAATTCATAATTTCCTCATTTATTTTTGCTATCTAATCTCTGTTTTCTTAGGTTTATATTTTAAAATCTCCTGAGAGTTGGGGTTAGGGAGGTTTTTCTGGCATATGGTAGCTTTTTTCCTACTAGAGTCAGGAGTCAGAGAACTTGAGACAAAACAGCCCAGGCAAGGTGAGGGGACTGGGCAAGGCCTCTCGGGATGGCCTGGGTGATGGGTTGGTCAGGCTCCTCACTCTTCACTTTTGGTGGTTGGTTGCCTCCATTTGTCCATCAATAGCTGGACAGTTCTCCTTGCAAGAAGAGGTAGCTTTAGATTCATAGATGGGCATAGTTGCTACTATATGTGCTTGTGGTGTAGTCTTCCAGGGCCAGAACCCCAAAACGAAACCAGTGGTGTAGACAGACTTCCAGCCTCTTGAGGGGTCAGTGATACTAATGGCTTGAATGGCTGTGGATTATTGCTGATAGCATCTAGCCCAGGGAAGGTGAACCCTTTAGAGACTGAGTACCCAAACTGCAACTCAAAACTCACTTATTTATTACAAAGTGCCAACACTGCAGTTAAACCTGAATGGTTGGCTGTTGGGGCTACTTGGCTCATGGTCCACTAAAGAGGGCTCTATGTGCCCACTGCAGCATGCACGCTATAGGTTTGCCACCACTGATCTAGCCCCCAGAAACCTCTTGGTGGTGTACATATTTGAGACAGCAAGATCAGAGTTGCAATTGGTAGTCCCAAATGACTCCCCTTCAAAGGTTGTCTTTAATAAATTGAGGAACAGCAAAATAGCATACTTTCAGATAATTATCAAATTTGAAAAATATTCTATCTGGTCAGCTCTTCATTATTTGGCAAGAGATGGGAAGAGATGGGAGTCTGAAATAATGAGCAGTATTATATCAGTCATACTTTTCTTTGGACTGAGTTTCTTTAAATATTGAAGCAAGAGTGTATCAGATATTGGTCAATTTGTAGAATTCTGGAGGAGGGGAAGGTAGGATAGTATTTTCCTTTTTCCTTTTTGCATTCCTGTTTAGAATTTCTTTGACTAGGGCAAGGGATATTAGCTCAGTGGTTCTGCCACTTGCCTCGCAAGCACAAGGACCTGAGTTCGATCCCTGGTACCAAAAAGAATGAATAAATTTAAATTTAGAATTTTTTTGACTACAGCTTCATGGTGTAAGTAAGAGTGGAATTTGGCACAATACAAATGTCGGTTTAAAGATCTAATTGTCTATGTCTTTTTTAAGGAAGTCAAAACGATGTATGATTCCAATAAAGGACTTACTTACATATAGATTATAAAGTAAAAGATTTTTTTGGCATGGTTACTCTGCCTAGAATAAGAGATCAGAGATTGAATTATCAGTGTAACTTTTTTTGGTGTTGGGGATTGAATCTTGGGCCTCGCCCAGCTTTTTTTTTTTAATATATTGTTTATTTTAATGGGTACATAAGCATAAAATTATACATGTTGGTGGAGTAATGTGGTGTTTCAATGCATGCATACATTGTGAAATATTTTATTCAGATTAAGCATATCTATCTCCTCAAACATTTATGATAAAAACTTTCAAAATCTAGCTTTTGAAGTTTACAGTACATTATTGTTATCTATTATCATTCTACTGTACATCAGAACTTCTTGCTCCTATGTAACTATGGCTTAATACCCATTGATCAGCCTTTCCCTAATACTCTTTCCCCACAATGGTAACTTTTGGTACTCATTTTGAAAAATTAGTTTTTGGGAGCCTATTACTTGTTAGTTTCTTTCATATTATTCTTGACTCTTTGAATTACACAATGAATATTTAATTTCAGTATTGAAAGCTTAAAGTCAGTTTTTCATATTCTTATGTAATGTTTGAAGATTGCTTATGTTTAAGTCACCACATATCTTTTTATTTTCATTTATTCACTTATTTGTACTTAAACTTTCTACAGCCATTCATTAGAACAAACAGTGCAATTTCTAAACTGTGTTCTTGAAGGAGACCCTGTAAAAACAGTTGTAGCTCAAGAGTTTGTTCACCAAAATGAGACTGCCACTTCTCACACTGCACAGAAGTCTAAAGAGAAAAAGGTATGGAGTTACTTATTTTTTTACTATAGTGGTAGATAACTGTGTGTAAAAATATGATTTGTTCATTGAGCATAATAATTTAATGATTATTTCTCAGGTTTTTTTTGTGGTACTAGGGATTGAACCTAGGGACTTTGCACTGAGCTACCCCCTTTTTTTAACATTTTTTATTTTGAGACAGGGTCCCTTTAAGTTGCCTGGGCTGTACTTCAATATGCAGTCCCCTTGCCTCAGCTTCCCAGAGTGCTAGGATTGCAAGTGAGTGCCATCACGCCCAGTTTATTTCTTACCATTTGACAAAGTTGGAAATGTATAGCTGGTTGTATTTTTTCATATCAGTGTGCTTGATAGCACTTGAATTTCTACAATTCCTGTGTAGATTCTGTTATGTAGATGTAGTAGAGTATGAGGCTTAATTAAATAGCTGTGAGTTTTTATAATATAAAGGGGCTTAGTGTAAATATATGGGCAGAAATATTTAACTTACTGAAGAAGTGCCAAACTTTTTTCCAAAGTGGTTGTACCATTTTACATTGGAATTGTTTTCTTAATTTTATTTTTGGACTGTTCATTGCAAATGGATAGAAATGCAATTGATTTTATATATTGATCTTATATCAACATTATGCTTTTTGTGGAACCTTTTAAAAATCATCTTGACATTCTCATTATGCTTACTTATAAGAATAGTCAGGGTTCTAGGATTAGAGGTCCCATTTGACCCAGCTATTCCCCTGCTGGGCATCTTCCCCAAAGAATTAATAAGAATCATACCACAGTGATATTTGTGCACCGATGTTCATAGTGGCACAGTTTATAATAGCTAAAACTTGGAAACAGCCCAGTTGCCCATCAACTGGAGGCTGGATAAAGAAAATGTGGTGTTTTTTTTTTGGTACCGGGGGTTGAACTCTGGTCCTTGTGCTTGCAGGGCAGGCGATGGAACCACTGAGCTAAATCCCCAGCTCCGAAAATGTGGTTTTTTAATAAAGTGGAGTACTACTCAGACATAAAGAATGAGAAACTAGAGACATTTATAGCTAAAAGGATGCACATTGAGGCCATACTCTTAAGTGAAATAAATAGGACACGTGTAAATACCGAGTAGTTTCTCTAGTGTGAGAAACTGAAAGTGTAAATAAGGATCAAAATGTATAATAGATAATGTGAAATAGGAAGAAAAGGGGCAAAGGGGAGGGGGAAGTGGGAGTGCTAGGGGAAGGGAAAGAAGGGAGTGGAATGAATATGAGAAAATGAAAAAATGGAAGCAAAGTCTTCGTAAATAGAGAGGGGTGGAGAGGTTGAAGGGAGGGCAGAGGAATGGGGAAAAAATAAGAATCAAGATATATCATGTAAAGGTACAAATCTCCAATGATGAATGTCAATATATTGTATACCTAAAATGTACCAGTAAAATTAATTAAAAGAAAAAGTATAGTTAGGGCTAAAATATGTGCTCTCATTTTTCTTTGAATGTGGAATGTGTCACCATCACTTAGTTGATATGTAGGGCCTGGGTACTTTTGTTATTCATGTAACTTGTTAATGCTGTACATAGGACAGGAGTGAAGTGTTATCATGCTTCTGGCTATCTGGAGGACGTGGTGGCATGGATGCTTAGGTGAGATGTATTATAAGGTGCAGAGGGCCAAACTGGCAGTGAAGGTTACTTCTTTTCTCTCCTGATAATATGCAAGGCAGTGTGAGTCATTCTGGTGATAGAAGACATGATGGGGAAAAGGAGTGGCACGATTGGAAAATGTTGCCATCAGAGCAGGAGTTCTTGTGAATTATATATGACTTGGCCAATCTGTAAACTATTAAGTTACTCTGGAGCTTATTCTCAGTCTTAATCATAAAATACAAGCAAGTGTCACAAAACTGGTAAAAATATTTTAGGATTTGTGAGCAGAATAATCATTCTTTTTGCTATTGCAGGATATTAAGGAACCATAGTTTCTAAAGGGCATCTCATAGTGCCAGTAAGATTTGGTTTGTCTATTTTCAAGAAACATTTAAAATTTTATTTTCTTTCTTTTTTTTTTTTTGGTATCGGGGATTGAACTTGGGACCTTGTGCTTTTGAGGCAGGCGGCGGAACCACTAAGCTAAATCCCCAGCCCAAATTTTGTTTTCTTAATACTACTGTCTTTTTCTTTAGTTTTTCTTTGGTTTTTTTTCGGTACCGGGGATTGAACTCTGGTCCTTGTGCTTGCGCAGCAGGCAGCGAAACCACTGAGCTAAATCCCCAGTCCCTTTCTTTAGTCTTTATTAAAATTTATAGGGTTGTTAACCATAGGAAATGATTTTGGCTTCATAGTGCATCAGGTTTTTAAAGAGTAAGTGGTACTTATTAGATGAATTCTTTGGAAGCAGATATTTTCTTTGGCCCTTGTTTTCTTTCTTTTTTTTTTTTTTTGGTACCGGGGATTGAACTCCGGACCTTGCGCTTGCGAGGCAGGCACCGGAACCACTGAGCTAAATCCCCGGCTCCTTGGCCCTTGTTAAAGTTATAGTAAATGTTGCTGCTATGAAATGGATACAAAAATAAATCTCATTTTTATTTTAAAGAGGAATATTTGAGAAAACATCTCTTGTCATACACTTATTTTGTTCTTTAATGAGTGTCATCATATTGTATGCCTAAAATGTACCAGTAAACTTAATGAATTAAAAAAACAACAACAATAAATGAAGGACCTCTTTCAGAGAGCCAACATTTTTTCATATGAATAGGAACAGAATCCCTTATATAGTGAAATATTTATTATGTTCATGGTATTAGCAGGCATATGGGGATTTTCAAAAGTTAAAGCATTTTTATTTCCCCTAATCTTTGATTTTATTAGGTAAGATGTACACTCATGGAATATTTGAACATTAATATAAACTAGCTGTGAGTAAACACTGAGAATCACATAGAAGCTGGAATTCTATGTTTTTCATGAAATAAGTTGTGTATCTGTTGCAAAAATAAATTGACTGATGTACAGATTTTAGTTTCTGGTAATGAGTTAGGAGTATAATGATGTCTTTATTTTCCTTTAATTTTTTTCAAGCCTTTTGGTGTTCTAGGGTCCATGTAACCAAAATATAATGAGAGAAGAAGTTATATAACTGATTACTGTTATATATTAGGCTAGCTTTCTTCAGTCTTTCTTGACTTCTGACCTGTTCCCAGGAAGATTTGAAAAAAGTTTTCTTTAATCAATTATTGATACATATGTGTGTATATTATATAATACCCATAATTTTTTTAAAAAAAATTAATTTTATTGGTACATTTTATTGGTACACTTTAGGTATACAGTTTGTTTACATTTATCATTGGGTGTTTGTACCTGTACATGATATATCTTGGTTCTTATTTTTTTCCCCATTATCTGTGCGCCCTTCACCCCCTCTACCCTTCGCTATTTACATAGATTTCATTTCCATTTTCTTTTCTTTTCTCATAGTTTTTCCTTTCCCTCTTTTCTTTTCCCCTTCCCCTCCCTTTACTCTAATACCCATAATTCTAACATAATATTTAATATGTAAAATGATACTATGTAAAATTTTTTTTTGAGATGGGGTCTTGCTGTATAGTCCAGGCTAGCCTTGAACTCACTACTGCATAATATTTTAAAATCACTATGTCATAGTGATTTATAGAGTAGATTATAATTGTAATCCTTGATAATAATATTTCTGAATAAATGACAATTTTCAACCTTTTGAATTTTTGTTTTTTTAAAAATTTCTAATCAGACAGTTTTCATTAGTTTCTATTAATCTTACAAAATATTGAGCTGCAGTGGTGCATACCTGTAATCTCAGCACTCTGGAAGGCTGAGGCAGGAAGATTGCAAGTATGAGCCCAGCCTGGGTAACTTAGTGAGACGCTGTCTCAAAAAATAAAAAGGGCTGGTGATGTAGCTTAGTGCAGAGGTCTTGGGTCCAATCCCTAGTAATGAAAAATAATTTACAAAATAGTGGTTTCAATGCTGTGTTTTCATATATGCATATATTTTGATCATATCTACCTACCCAGTTAGCCCCCCTTATACCTCTCTCCCTCCTTGGCCTTTTCTTTTTTTCTTTTATTTTTATTTTTTTGGTTTTTTTGGCCTTTTCTTATTTAATAATAGCCTCCCTTCTACTTTCATTCATCTTTTTTAGATTCCACATATTAAGGGAAAACATGCAGTATCTGTCTTTCTGAGTCTGGTTTATTTCATTTACCATGATAATCTCCAGTTCCATACATTTTCCTGCAAATGACATAATTTTGTTCCTTTAATATCTGAATAATACTCCATTCATCTGTTGATGGGTACCTAGGCTGGTTCTATAATCTTCGCTATTGTGAATTGTGATGCAATGAACATAAATATGCAAGCGTCACTATGTATATTATGGTGACTTTAATTCCTTTGAGTATATACCAAGGAGCGGCACAGCTGGGTCATATAGTAGATCTATTTTTAGTTTTTTGAGGGACCTCCATACTGATTTCCAGAGTGGCTATATTAATACACATTCCCACCAGCAGTGTAGTAACCCCCAACCCCCATATCCTCTCCTGCATGCATTGTGTTTTGTATTTTTGAAATTAGGCTGATTTTTTTAGTGTTCTTCGAGTTCTTTATATATTCTAGATATTAACCTTCTATTAGAAGAGTAGCTGCCTGTTCCCAGCATGGTGGCACACACCTGTAATCCCAGTACTTGGAAGTCTGAGGTAAGAGGATTGCTGCGAGTTCAAGGCCAGCCTGGCCTAGCGAAAACCTGTCTAAAAAAAAAAAAGAGTAGCTGGCAAAGATTTACTCCTATTCTATAGGTTGTCTCTTTACCCTGTTGCTTGTTTCCTTTGCTGTGCAGAAACTTTTTTAGTTTAATGTAGTCCTATTTATTGATTCTTGCTGTTGTTTCTCATGTTATTGGAATTCTTTTAGGAAATTTTTGTGCCTATAGCCTCAAGTGTTTCCCGTTTTCTTTTAGCAGTTTCAAAGTTTCAGGTCTTAGACCCATTTTGAATTGATTTTTGTAAAGGGTGAGAGATAGGAATCTAGTTTTACTGTCCTACATGTGGACATCTAGTTTTCTCAGAATTGTTTATGAAAGAGGCTATTATAGCTCATGTCTAGATGTTTCACCAAAGCCTCATGGGGTCATAGGTAGGGCTTTTTCAGAGGTAGCTGGATCTAGAATGTGTGATGCTGAGATTAAGTGTGTGTGTGATTAAGGGTGTGTGATCACTAAATTAGTCCAGTGATTGGTGTGGAATAGTTCATGTGGATAACGGGAAGGCCTACCCTGGGTGTAAGTGCTACCTGCCCTGAGGGTGTGTAGCCTGGATATAATATAAAGGACAGAAAGAAGGCTGCCGTCATTGCTTGCTGCTTTGCTGCCTTCCTGCCTTCTGCCTGCCACAACTATTTCTCCTCTGAAGGCCCCCTCTGCCATGACACTCTGCCTTAGAGCCAGCTGATTATAGATTGAAACCTGTACAAACTGTGAGCCAAAATAAACCTTTTCTCCTTTAACTTTGGGTGTCAGGCATTTTGTCTCAGCAGTGAGAAAAACTAAGACAGAGCCTGTCCTTTCTTCAGTGAATGTTTTTGATTCCTTCATCAAGAATCAGATGGCATTTAGTTGCATGCTTTTGTTTCTGTGTCCTCTATTCTGTTCCATTGGTTTGTGTGTCTATTTTGTGCTAGTACTATGTTGTTTTTATTATTATGGCTATATATTATAATTCGAAACTAGGTATTTCGATACTTTGCCTCTTTGGTTAGGATTAATTTGGTTATTCTAGGTCTTGTGTGTTTCCATATGAATTCTAGGATTTTTTTCCTATTGTGAAGAATGTCGTTGGTATTTTGATAGGGATTACTTTGAATGTGTAGATCACTTTTGGTAATATGCCATTATGTTGATTCTGCTGAGCTATGAACATAGGAGGTCCTTCCTTCTTCTGGTGTTTTCTTGAATTTCTTTCTTCTGAGTTCTGTTATTTTGTATTTATTTATTTATTTATTTTGATACTGGGGCTCAAACTCAGGACCTTGTGCTTGCAAGGCAGGTGTGGTGCCACTGAGCTAAATCCCCTGCCCTCTGTTATTTTCATTGTAAAGGTCTTTCACCTCCTTGCTTAGGTCAATTCCTAGGTATTTGATTTTTTCGAAGGTATTGTGAATGGAATTTTTTTCCTGATTTCTTTCTGAGCTAGTTCATTGTTGGTTTTTTAATATTTATTTTGTATCTTGAGCTTTTTGTATTTTAACAAGTAACCTACCTATTTAAATTTACTTTTGGTTATTAATATCAGAAAATGCATGATTTGTTACAATATTGAAAATTATGCTTTTTTATTTTGATATTGAATGTTCATAAAATGTTAATTAAATTACTTGGTATGGCATTTGTTTCTTGGAATTCTCTTAGGCTTTTAAGGAAATAACTTTTAAATCATGTTAATTTTGTCCTTCTTATGACTAGTTAAGAGACATACCAGATTTCTGTTTGTAAGCAGTTTTCTCCGTGAATTGGAGAAAGGGATAAATGAAAAGCCAAGTTTGATAATGAAATTACTATACATGTTTTTAACATTGGCTTTTTTTTTTTTGGTACCGGGGATTGAACTTGGGACCTTGGCACTTGGGCGGCAGGTGCCAGAACCACTGAGCTAAATCCCTGGCCCTATATTGGCTTTTGATATTCTGAAGACATTTGGATATTCTGTCTAAAAATATTAAAAAATGCAATTTTTCTATTTGGTGAGGAGCACTAAGACAATTTGCATAGTTATTATTTTCACTATTATGTGTTTTATAATAGAGTGACTTATCTGTTTAAGGATCTATTTTGGGTAATAATTACATGATAATTTGTTAAATAATAATTGAAATTGTGTAACAGTTAACTGATCATAGTCCCTAGTGGTAACTATCTGGTTGAAACTTTCTCATAAACATACTTAAGATTTTTATAACTACTAGCAGTGGTAACTCCATAAGCTCTTCTGTTTTAAAGAGAATATTATTT